GATATAAATATTTTGCAGTATTGACTGTAACCAAATGCCTCTTTTTGGTTAGGACAAGTCTGAGGGATTGAACTAGCAGAGTCTCTTACACAAACCCGGCATGTTCCTAGAGGAACATCGCCTCTGCATATGACTAAAGAATTTACTCTATCTGGACCTTGTCCTGCAGTGAAGTTGTAGAAACCATAGGTGATTCGAGAGTCCGTAGCAAGGGAGTTTAGGACTGCTCTATGTTGGATTGATAAGTGCTGTTGGGTGCGTAAGTAGCATCGCCACACCAACTGTGGCGGAAAGAAAATTGTGCAGAAGTCAATTCCGGTAACCATACAGTGAGAATGAAACAAACTAACAAGTAAAATAATATGTTTGATGACTTCATTTCTTTGAGCTGAAAGAGAAAAATAGAAAATATGAACAAAAGAAAGGTGGAGTTTAGTACTACTACCTCCGTTAACTTTTATTTGCAACTTTGGGTATTATTTGTGAGACATAAAATATTTCAAGTTGCAAATAAAAGTTAACGGAGGTAGTATAATTCTATTGTTTAGTAGGGCAGGGGTTGCTTTTCATGCTTTGTCAAGTGGGAAATTAAATAGGACTTTTCCTTCTTCTTTTTCTTTTTTTAATCGAGTTGGTTTTATTTTATCATGTTGATGATTGTTGTATTTTATTTATGTTTGATCCATAATTTCACAACAGGCTAGCTCTCTGATAACAAATGACAATTATTAACAAATAAAGTTTTTCTAACCAGGTGTGCTAGCTTCAACCTTGTGACCAATGCCTAGATGGACAGGGGCTGCTGCTTTATCATTTTGGCTTAATATATTAATTTTCTGATTACAATTTTGGCATCTTGGTTATATTATAATTCGATTATTTTGAGTGTATGAGTTTAAAAATGAAAACAATGGGCAATTACTAACCATACCAAATGACTATATTTCACAGTCTTCTTTACTTTCTTCTCTTGACTTGCAAAGTTTTCTTTAAAAAATTATTCAGGTATGAACTCTAATTAAACACGCGGTTTTAGATTCATATTATACACATTTTGCTTAATTTTGCCATTTTAGCTAGTATTTATGATCCACCTAACGTCGAATGACAAAACAAGGAGCTGAGACACGCGAATGGGAATGTCTAGAGTTGTTCATATTAGCATTGTCATTCATTTTTACTTAATCTCCATCGCGATTTGCCAACCAAATTTCATAACTCATTTGTGTATAGACACTTATGGTAACTATACCAATTCCAGCACATACAATGCCAATCTCAATACCTTCTTCAATTCAATATCATCTAATTCTCAAATCAACTCGCGTTACTATAATATCTCAGTTGGCAAGGAACCTGACCGAGTTTATGGGGAAGCACTATGTGGAAGTGATATGGCTTTCCAAGATTGTCATAGATGTCTCAATAACTCAATAAGATTGCTTCCACGGCTCTGTCAGCCACAGAAGGAAGCTTATGGATGGTACGACGACTGTATGCTAATTTATGCTAATCGAACAGATGCATTATGGACTCTCAGTACAAGACAACCTTCCTACTATCTAAGCAATGGAAATTCTGTGAGTGATAATAATGTTGAAGAGTTTAATCGAGTGCTAGGATCGTTATTGAATAGGATTCAAAATGAAGCTGCATCGGGTGGTTCTCAGCTTAAGTATGCAACCGGAAATGCTACTTATGGAAGCTTAAAGAATGTTTATGCATTTGCTCAATGTGATCCGGATTTATCATATCAAAGTTGCTTTAATTGTCTTGGAGATTGTATTAATAATGTGTTTCCTAGTTGTTGCAATAACAGCATAGGAGCACGGGTTATTGGACCTAAGTGCAAGATAAGATACGAGCAGGATCTGTTTTACAACATTACTAGTCCACCACTTACCCCGCCGTCGACTGCACCATCTCCTCCTCCTCCATCAGGTAACCGCGAAATTATTGAAGTTTTTACTTTTGAACATCAGAATTCTCAATTATAAGTTGGAATGCTAAACTCTGAACTGTTAATGGGTTTTGAATTCAATTCTTGCTATTTATTCTATAATTTGAACATCATTAACTTGTACTTAAGCTACTTTCTTAACTTCATCATCTGCAGGAAATGGAAGCAATAAGGGAACAATTGCCGTACTTATCATAGTTCCAATAGTCGTATTAATTGCTCTTGCAGTAGGCTTCACTTACTTGTGTCAAAGAAGAAAGAGAAGGAAAAATATTGAAAGTTTGAGTAAGTAAAAATTGTCTTGAATGTTTATATATATTGCTATTATGATGCTAGTCCTCTGATGATATTCTTAACCTATGATTTAGATGGTGAAAATTATGAAGAAAGCAGAGGTTACATGTCTCTACAATATGGTTTTGACACTATTAGGGTGGCAACAGACAATTTCTCTGATGCCAATAAACTTGGCCGAGGTGGATTTGGTATCGTTTACAAGGTACTTCTAACATTATAAGCTATTGAGATCAAAACTTTGTCTGTGATTAGTTCTAGTATAATTTGACTAATTTTTACAGATTGTAAAAGAATACTAATTCATAACTTAAGTTTATGGGTCATTAAGCTATATGTATATGTTTGCTAAAACCAGGGAAAATTAACAAATGGACAAGAAATCGCAGTGAAGAGACTCTCAAGGGATTATGGACAAGGTGACGGCGAGTTTAAGACTGAAGTTATGCTAGTGGCTAAGCTTCAACACAGGAATCTTGTTAGGCTCCTTGGCTTCTGCTTAGAAAAAGAAGAAAGACTACTCATTTATGAGTTTGTTCCCAACACTAGCCTTGATCACTTCTTGTTTGGTATGGTTTATTTTCTTTTTTAAAGCATGACAAATGATGTACTCATGTACATTAAGTTTATACTATTATCTTTAGATTTTTTTAAAAATAATTGATTGGCAGATAAGTTTATGCTAAGGAAAGTTGATGAATTGAACTTTATGCTAACTCCATGAGTATCATTTGTGTGCAGATGTAAGCATGCAATCTGTTTTAGATTGGCCCACTCGCTACAAGATTATAATTGGCATTGCTCGAGGAATCCTATATCTTCATGAAGATTCCAGACTTCGAATTATCCATCGTGATCTTAAAGCCAGCAACATACTTCTAGATGCAGATATGACTCCTAAGATTGCAGATTTTGGGATGGCAAGGTTATTTGGAGTTGACCAAACCCGGGGGGATACCAACAGAATCGTCGGTACCTAGTAAGTCTACCAAATTAATTAATAAGACAGTTTCCTTGACTAATGTGATCATTTTTATGGATTTCTAAAAAAGGACATGAAACTATTAATTTTATTTGGACATGAAACAGATTAATTTTTTTGATATTACATAGATTTGACTTGAGAAAATCATGATAAGTATGAAAGCCTAATAATGTATGTAATTTGTCAAAAAATAATGTATGTCATTATTAATTTCCTTTATGCAGTGGGTATATGGCACCAGAATATGTATTCCATGGATTCTTCTCTGTAAAATCAGATGTCTACAGCTTTGGCGTACTAGTCTTGGAAGTTATCACAGGTCGAAAGAATTCTGGTTTTCAAAATGAGGAATACACAGAAGACCTATTTAGCTTTGTAAGTGGTCAAGAATAAAGTCATCATCTTAATTTGATGACCTCTTAAAAAATTACTCGCTTTCAATGCAAATTTCTATGTTGCATACTCTGTAATAATGTCCTGCAACTAATCTATGTCGCGTACATAATGTCTTTGCACAGGTATGGAGAAATTGGAGAGAAGGAACAGCAATATCGGTCATTGATCCAATACTATCAACGGCGTCTAAAACTGATATAATAAGCTGCATACACATGGGGTTGTTATGTGTTCAAGAAAGTGTAGATGACCGTCCAACTATGTCTTCTGTCGTGTTGATGCTTAGTAGCAGCTCGCTCTCTTTGCCGGTTCCTTCTCATCCTTCATTCATCAGTGTCAATGCGAGACAATCAGAGAGTATTTCAACTAATGAGGTTTCAATCACTGATATCCATCCACGTTAAACCGATTGTTCGTGAAGGTCGCAATTGTTTGATATCTCTTGTGTTGCATAAAAGTGTTTACGTGATTGCTCTAATAATTTCAAGTGCTAACCTAGTCCTGGTCAAAAAAATTTAATTGAAGATGAGAGATGGTAACAATAATAGAATTAACTCATCTACCTTATAAAGTGAAATATCTCTCAATGTTTCTCCAATGTGGGACACTCACAAGTGGGCTACAATAGGTTTCAACAATTGTAATTAATTAAAGACAGTTAAAAGATGTTAGAATAACAAGAGCAGAAAGATAAGTATTTCATCTTTAAAAAAAATGTTTCTTTCTAATAAATCATAGATAATTGATCTAATAATATATTTGTTGGCGATCTTGTATTGTTGTATTGGTTCAAAGCATGTTTGTATGAACTTTTTTCCCCAAAGCTGTAAATTACAATTCTACATTTATAATAGTTGTTTGCTTGACTTCTCTCCAAAAAAACATCAACATGTTTCTCATTCTTATGAGGTAACAAATGTGTGCTAGCTCAATCTTTCTCTAAGAAAAACACCAATAGGTTTTGTTCCTTCTAGGAGATCACCCCAAAAATGTCGCTCAATACTTCTCTTAGCACCAATAGGTTTATCGTTAATAATAGAAAGGCACCCTACAAACGTCTGCTTGATCTTTCTCTTAGAAAACACCCATCCGTTTTAGAAAGGTCGCATCACAAACATTTGCTCGATCTCTCTTAAAAAAACATCCATATTTTCCTCATTTGTTTAAAAAGGTCTTCCCAGAAACTTCTGCTCGATCTTTCTCTTTAAAAACACCCATAGGTTCCTCGTTCGTTCTGGGAAGGTAGCGCCATTGTTTCACAATAGACTCTACAATTGACCAATAATGTGGTCGTTTCTAACAAGGTGTGCTACATTGTCATTAGTAGTCTAGTAACTAGTGGGACAAGGGCTGCTGCTTTATCAAGTGGGAAACTGAATTTTGTTTATTGTATCATTTTTTTGAGTAAAAATTTGGCAACTTGGTTGTATCTCTATACTCGAATTTAGAAATTATATAATGAGAAAGTACCAACCATGCCAGAAGACTGTTTTCCATTCTCTCCCATCTTTAGTTTCTTCTCATAAATTCTTCCTTTTTCTAGTCTTCTTCGAGTATGAACTCAACAAACGCGGTAGTTATACACGTTCTCCTTAATCATTTCGCCATTTGTAGCTTGTATACATGATCTCTCTTACGTCGAACCACAAAAGAGGGAGCTGAGATTTAAAAATAAGAATGTCAAGAGTTCTTTATATTTTGATTCTTATTCATTTTTACTTCATCTCCATTTCTTTTAGCCAACCAAATTTCATAACTCATTTGTGTATAGACACATATGGTAACTATACAAACACTAGCACATACCACACCAATCTCAACACCTTCTTCACTTCGATATCATCCAAAACTCAAATCAACTCGCGCTACTATAACTTTTCAATTGGCAAGGACCCTGATCAAGTATATGGGGACGCGCTATGTGGAAGTGAACTATCCTTCCAAGATTGTTATACATGCCTCAATAACTCAATTAGTCTGCTTCCACGGCTCTGCCCTACACAAAAGGAAGCTTCTGGGTGGTACGATAATTGTATGCTACGCTATGCAAATCGTTCATCTGCATTGTCGAGCATGAGCTCAAGACAACCTGCCTACTACTTAACAAACTCCGCTAGTGTGCCTGATAATAACGCTAAAGACTTTGATGAGGTGCTGGGATCGCTATTGAACAAGATTCAAAATGAAGCTGCTTCTGGTGATTCTAGACTTAAGTATGCAACCGGAAATGGTACTTATGGAAGCTTGAAGAATGTTTATGCAGTTGCTCAATGTTCTCCGGATTTGTCATATCGAAACTGTTTTAATTGTCTTGGTGATAGTATTAATAATGTGCTTCCTAGTTGTTGCAATAACAGTATAGGAGCACGGGTTGTTGGATCTAATTGCGAAATAAGATACGAGCAGGATCTGTTTTACAACGTTACTAGTCCTCTTTCTCCTCCACCGTCGACAGCACCATCTCCTCCACCACCATCAGGTAAATGGGAAATACTACAAGTTTTTACTTTCAAAAATTAGAATTTTACATAATAAATTGGATTGCTAAACTATGTGCTTTCAAAGGGATATTCAGTCAGTAGATTAATATATATCTAGTAGTCAAACATGGGTTATGAAATCAATTCAACTCTTGCTATTTGTTCTATTATATTATTTTAGCTTAGCTAATTAAGCTTATCTTGTGAGAAAATTATATGTTACTTTCTAAGAATTAAAATAAGAACCTTGAGCATGTGGGAATCGAAGTGGTCAATGGACAATAAAATGAATAGGTACATATCACAAGAAGTCGAAAAAAATATACTTGTATATTTTTCTTATAGAAAAGTTTATGAAGCTCGCCAACTAGTCCTCTACTAATTAAAATTTCGAGATAAGTGCAAGTATAAATATAGTGATGGTGAAACTATTATATTAAGCTTTGATAGAATAATTAATTAGAACACGTCAATGTATACTTATTAGATGGAAGTCAAGAATAGCTTAGTAAATTAGAGCTTCCCTCTTGGTTATAGGGGGTTTTAGAATCGATTCTCATTACATGTCTGGCTTTTTAAACGCCAATAAATATATAAACGTATTGGATGGAATAATAAATCATATTTCAGCTACTTGATTGTCAACTTCATAATCTGCAGGAAATGGAAGCAACACGGCAATAACCACCGTACTTATCATAGTTCCGACAGTTGTATTAATTGCTGTTGCAATTGGCTTCATTTACTTGTATCGAAGAAGGAAGACAAGGAAAAATGTTGAAAGTTTAAGTAAGCAAAAGAATGTCTTCTCTATTTATAATCATTTATGGTACTTGTATATATCTTGATATAATAAAATGATGCTAATCCCTTGATTTTCTTAACCTTTAATCAAGATGATGAAAATGATGATGAAACCAGAAGTTATATGTCTCTGCAATATGGTTTTGACACCATTAGAGTGGCAACAGATAATTTCTCAGATGCTAATAAACTTGGTCGAGGTGGATTTGGTTTTGTTTACAAGGTACTTATAAGTTATAACATCGTAAACTTATAATTGAAAATACTAAGTATTATAAAAATTACATTGCAACGTTTTGCCCAAATTAAAAGCTTTCACATATTTGGTTGAGTGTTGCAACTTTTTTAAAGCAGAAGAATGAAGTTTTATTTGACTAAATTTTGTAGAATGGGGCATAACTGCATAAGTTATATGTGTATGTTTGTTTAAACCAGGGAAAGTTATCAAGTGGACAAGAAATCGCAGTGAAGAGACTGTCAAGGGATTCAGGACAAGGTGACGGCGAGTTTAAAACTGAAGTTATGTTAGTGGCTAAGCTTCAACACAGGAATCTTGTAAGGCTCCTTGGCTTCTGCTTAGAAAAAGAAGAAAGACTACTCATATATGAGTTTGTTCCCAACGCTAGCCTTGATCACTTCTTGTTTGGTATGATTTGACTTCTTTTTAAAGCATGAAATATGATGACATAAATTTATGAAACATGAATTGAACTTTATGATACCTCCTTGTGTGCAGATGTAAGCATGCGTTCTGTTTTAGATTGGCAAACCCGATACAAGATTATAATTGGCATAGCTCGAGGAATTCTTTACCTTCATGAAGATTCTCGACTAAGAATCATCCATCGTGACCTTAAAGCCAGCAACATTCTTCTAGATGAAGATATGGCTCCCAAGATTGCAGATTTTGGTATGGCAAGGTTATTTGGAGTTGACCAAACACAGGGAGATACCAGTAGAATCGTCGGTACCTAGTAAGTAAATCATGCTAATGAGGACATTTCCCTAGACTTTTAGTATGTGGTCATTATATTAAACATCTAAAAAATGACATCAAACTTTAATTTGCTTTGATATCACATATATATGATCATATGAACAAGCAAACCATGAAATATATCAAAGCCTAATGTCGTAATTAATCTCCTTTATGTAGTGGATATATGGCACCAGAATATGTTTTCCATGGATTTTTCTCCGTAAAATCAGATGTCTACAGCTTCGGCATACTAGTCCTAGAAGTTATTACAGGTCGAAAGAATTCTGGCTATCAAAATGGGGAATACACAGAGGACCTATTAAGCTTTGTAAGTGTTCAAGCATTCTTATATATCATCTTTTACTACGTCCTTAAAATTACTCACTTTTAAGGCAAGTTTCTATGTTACAAACTCTGTAATAGTGTCCTGTAACTAATCTATGTCCGATATATATTGTTGCTGAGCAGGTATGGAGAAATTGGAGGGAAGGTACAGCAATATCAGTCATTGATCCAACATTATCAACGGCGTCTAAAACTGATATAATAAGATGCATACACATGGGCTTGTTATGTGTTCAAGAAAGTGTAGATGACCGTCCCGCTATGTCCTCTGTCGTATTGATGCTTAGCAGCCGCTCGCTCTCATTGCCGGTTCCTTCTCATCCTTCATTTGTCAGTGTGAATGCGACTATGGACACTAACTCTGATAATCATAAGGAAAGACAATTAGTGAGTTTGTCCACAAATCAGGATTCCATCACTGATCTCCAACCACGTTAAACAGATTGTTTGTGAAGACGCAGTTTATCTCTTGGGGGATAAAAGTTCAGATTAAAATGATAGAGAAATTAAATTAGTGGTTAAGTTATTATTTTGTAAACACTTGTATAATCAAGATCACTTATATAATCAAGATCACTTATAATGTGAACCACGATTAGTGATGTGATTCATGATCTATTATTCAAGTATTGCAATGAAGGATAGTTTTGCAATAGCTAAATTAAAATTATAGCCATTATATTGAGTGAATCTTAACCCTCCAATTAATAAAGACAAACTTTTAAATAAAACGGATGTTCAGTAAATTACTGAACATCCGTTATAAAGTGACAATAAAATGTGCAAAAGTTACACTAAAATGCATAAAAGTTACCCTAACATATTTAAGAGTTATTTATGCTTCATTGATAAATTTGACAAAAGTGACACTAAATTTGACACTAAATCTGACAAAAGTGTACCCGATGTACAGTAAATTACTGAAAATCGGGTGTATACAAAAGTTTTCCATTAATAAAATTCATCTTATCTATTTATTGATTGACATATAAAAAAACCAATTATCAATAAGTTAAATTTAAATAATATGAAAATTAGATAATACACCCGGGTGCACCATGTTCATGGTGCACCCGGGTAAACAAAAAAGGCGGAAAGAACATATAATGTTTGATAAAGAACATACCTATGTTTGACAAAGAACATACCTTTAATATGTTCTTCGAGTGTGATCAGTGTGTTCTTTGAGTAAAATTATATGTTCTTTACATTATAACTTATGTTATTTAACATATGTTGATAAACATATTTTTTTTTTTTGGGTTTAACAATACAAAGTATGTTCTTTGAATTTGGCGTGTATGTTCTTTAAGGTCGTAATGACGTCCAAATTCTATTTTTATTATCATATGTCATATTTAAATTACTTTTATTATCATATATTCTTTGAGTTTGATTAGTGTGTTATTTAGGTATTAACTATATGTACTTTACAATATAAATTATGTTCTTTTAACATATGTTATTTTGAAATTTGATATTGAAATCTTAAATTATTTTTAATTGAAAATAATATTAGAGTAAAAAAAACTAAATTATTATGGGAAGTTGAATTTTTTTTTGGAGAGATAGAAAACTATTTTTTGGGGAAATGATATTTTTGGTAAGGATTTTTTAAGAGTTGATCAACATTGGCATGACTCGCTTCCCGACCCGATCCGGCCCGAAATAGGGTGGGTTTAGGCAAACCTAAAAATGCATTTTTAGTTAAAACTCGAACCGGGTTCGAAAAAGCCCAAAACCCGCTACTTTTCTACGGGTTTGGGCACGAGAAATTATGATATGGCCCGACCCTACTCGATTTTTTATCACCTCTAAATTTTTCCGTTAATAATGTGTAATTTTTCAGAAAATTTTATTAAGTTTTTATCTCGTTCTTTTTATTATATCTTTATGTTCTTCGATAATGCATGTTTTTGTCAAATACAAACATGTTATTTGTCAAATACATGTATGTTCTTTATGAAACACATGATGTTCTTTCCGCCTTTTTTTATTTATCCGGGTGTATGATGAGCATTTTACACCCGTGTGTATAAACCACGAATTAAAATAATACTTAACAAAAAAAAAAGAAAAATACGTAACATAAAAATTAAAATTATAAAACTTTTTCTCTCTTTAATTTTTTTTTTTTTTTTTGAAAAAATTATAGTATAGAGTAGGTTACAAAATATCCCAATCCAATTCATATTTCGAAGTTTTGATGTTCAAAGGTCAAAATTCCTTCCAATATATATATAATTAGTCAAAGTTTTGATGTTTATTAGTCAAAAGCTCTTAATCCATTGAATAAATTCAAAGTTTTGACGTTTGAAAAAGTCTTCATAATCCAATCCATGCATGGTGCAATATATATAAAGATTGTTATTTATACAAGTCAAAGGATAAAATAGCGGTATCCACTTAAAAAATCTAAAATAATGCCCTCGATTTTATTACTCTTTCAAAAGATTTGGCGTATTAAATTTGGAGCACCTAGTTATCGTGTGCATATAGATCTAGTATTTACCTGATGGAGGAGCCGACGGTGGAGGAGATGATGGACTCGACACGTCGTTGTAAAACAAATAATCCTCGTATCTTAACTTGCAACTCGGTCCAAGAATCTGCGCTCCTGTGTTATTAGTTGATCCACTAGGAATCTTTTCACTAATAAAATCCCCAAGACAATTAAAGCAGTTTCGTTGCGACAAATCTGGAGAACATTGAGCAAACGCATATATGCTACCAAAGCTTCCGTAACTATCATTTCCAGTTGCAAACTTAAGTCGAGAATCACCCTTCGAAGCATCATTTCGAAGCCTATTTAATAACGTTCCTAGAACTTGATTAAACTGGTTAACGTTATTAGTCACCTTTTTTGTACTCCTTAACGTTGATGAAGGTTGTTCTTCTTGGCTTCCCAATATTGTCCGATTTGCATAACGTAGCATACAATCGTCGTACCACCCGATAGCTTCCTTTTGTGTAATTGTGTTGGGCAGAGTCGTGGAAGCATGGTAATTGAGTTATTAAGACATTTGTAACAATCTTGGAACGTTACATCACCTCCACATAGCGCGATCCCATTAACTTGGTCAGGTTCCTCGCCGGTTGAGAAGTTATAGAAGCGGGAGTTGATTTGAGTGTTGGATGATATAGACGAGAAGAAGGTGTTGAGATTGGCTTCGTATATGCTATGTTGCTTTAGAGGAATACTACAAGAGGGGGGGGGGGGTGAATTGTAGTTTAAGAGAGTTGAGCTAACTTTTTGCGGAACTGAAAAATACTAAGCTACAGGAACTCAAAGTGAACACAGAGAGATTTTACGTGGAAAACCTCTTGGCCCTAACAAGAGGAAAAACCACGACCACTTGGGATTTTAGGAAAGATTCTCCACTATAACAGGGAAAACAACCTATTACAAGCTAAAGAATCAATCTTCAAGTTCCTCTATGAACTTGAAGTTCCCAGCAGCAAGTCCCACTACTTGCTGCTCTTCTCTTCTCTCTCTTTCTCTTCTAACTTCTCTTAGAGTTCACTCAAACTCCCAATTCCCAAATTACAACTCGATAATAAACTCTAGTGAAAGTAATTAAGAAAAACACTTAAGTGGAATGCGACTCTTGACTCGTTTATGAACAAGAAAGAAAGATAAAAGTATTTGAGCAAGATGAAGTTATCCAGAAAATAACTTCAATATTTATAGAAAAATATTGCTTAGAGAAAATGCCACACTTTCCACCACTCACACCACCACTGCTGCATATCAACGCCACTACTCTACACCACTTCCAAAACTTTTAATCGTGTCCTAAAAACCAGGGCACGTTGAGCGTTAAGGAAACAACATGTTCGTGAGTGGAGAAGACTAAATCAACAATCAGTTGCGCAAGCTTAGGAAGTTGGTTTTGCAAAAATATATTTTTCCGAAAATAAATTATCAGCTTAAAAGATAAAATCACAAAAGATTTTCTTAAACAAACTATCCTATTTTTAGCAAGTCAATACGTACTTATCCTTTTTCAAACGCATTCCACTTAGCATTAATCCAAATTATTTTTCATTTACATAGAATCTAAAATAGAAAAATACTTCAGACTTTATGCTTCTCTAAGAAGTCTCTGCTTCGAGTCTTCTTTCCTTAGCTTCTACTCCGAAACTCTAGTTCCTTCACAGGAACTCTTTAGCTGATCTCTTTGACTTTTTAGCTCCTTGTGTTCCTTTGCCTTGAGTGATTCTTGTAACTTATGAACAGACTACAAGACTAACAAAATACATTAGTCCACTTGTTTGACTTGTGTTATCATCAAAACATCAAGGGCAACAATATTCCCCCTTTTTTATGATGACAAACAAGGCAAACATATTAGAGCAAAAAATAAGCTAAGAGATCAAATAAACTACTGTAAAACAAAATAAAGGATGAAAAAGAATTTTTAGAAACATTTTTTATACCTTACTGAGAAGTAGAGAGATTTATACCTTACTGAGAAGCAGAGAGACACAAAACTTTGAGGCAGAGATGGATGATAAGTGTGTAAGTAGTTTGCCTGTATACTTTCCCCCTTTTGGCATTATCAAAAACATAATGTATATAGCAAATTATCTCAAACACAGCACCATAACATGGTCTAATGATAAGGCAGAGATCATATAAGCAATTCAAAGTAGAGAATATGTACAAAATATTGATAAAACATTCATCCAAAACCAATGATAAACATCGGCCAAAGGTGCATCAAATCCACAAGTTAAAAAAAACTAATAATCCCTGTTTTAGTTACAGACCCAAAAGAAAAACATTGTTCAGAAATAGCAAAAGAAACACAAAAGCAACATCATCATAGGCTAAGGAAACAGGAACAGGATCAGATTTCCTCTACAGTGAGGCCATCAAGCTTGGCTGCAATCTTCTCCACCACCTGCTTGATTGCTTCATCCCTTGCCTGAGCAACCTAAAGAAGTAGTGACTTTGCATTAGCAGCACAACCAGACACTGCTCTTTCTAGAGCATCCACCCTGCCTGTGTTGCTCTTGAGTTCTGAGATGGCAACTTTGAGCATATCCTTACGTTCCTGCAGCTCAATTGAAACTGCTTCATTGAGCATAGCTGTGGAGTGGATTTCTTCAAACTCTGTGTCCTTTGGTGCAGACTTAGGAGATACAGGAGGAGTAGGAACTTGAGCTTCTTTCCCAGCGTCCTGTTCCCCAAGATCAATGAGAACAGGCTCAAGCTCTTTTTCTTTCTTCTTTGACAGCCTCAGACTTTTCCTCTTCCTTCCCCCTGTCTCCAATACATCCTACTCCTGAACTTCAGTCTTTAACCCTTTCCCCCTCTCTCTCTTTTTCTCATTTGGCTTTCCGCCTTCAACAACTTTTGCTCCAGATGCTTCCCCCTCAACTTTTGCTTTCTCTTCTCCTTCTGAAACCGCAGGAAACACTTCTAAATATCCATAAACCACATGCAGACCTCTATTCTCAAGGAATGTTTTCTGAATATACTGGTTGTTCTGTAGGTGCAGGGGTCCACAATCAGTGAGGTCTATTTTAAAGCTTTCAAAGACGGTGGTGAGGAGGTTACCATACCCAATTTTCCAGTTTCTGGGT